GATTTTTTTACGCGTGGAAATTCGGCGAAAACATCTTAAAAATCTCTTAAAAATAAAAATTTTACATTTTTTTCTTCAAATTTTGACCTTTGTGATCATTTTAAGTCCAAAATTTTGAAAATCCCACAGAAAGTGAAAAAGTTATGGAGGTTTGAAAATGGTCTAAAACGCAGATTTTTAAGTTTGGCGCCACGCCACGGCGCCAAATATAAGTTTTACACGGAAATAAGAATGGAACCTTCATTTAGGGTCCTAGTAGATTCTAAAAAACATAGTGGGTACCCTGGACACGAACGACAGGTCGTGAGTGTCCCTTGTTAGCACCTCCATGTTTTGCATTGTATATTTAATGTCGTTACACAATAGCATATCAACTTGTTGTTGATCAATAAGCTAATAATTAACCCCCAAATTAAGGGACAGATTTTTCATGAATCCATACACCGTAAAAAAAGTTGAGTGAAATTGCCACCAGGGCAACTATTGAGTAGAATTTACCCCGCGAAAGTTAAAATTTACTCAAGGTTGAGCAAAAATCTTTCAAGGTTGGATAAATTATAACTTTTATTGGGTAAATTTTACTCAATAGTTGTCCTGGTGGCAATTTCACTCAAAATTGAGTGAATTTTACTCGATATTTTTTAGAGTGTAAATTCCTCCAGAACCATCCGTAATTAAACCGAGTATTAAATACCTTTCCAGGTCCAAGGTACGCTCAAGGATGATTTGAACGATGACGAAACCCTTCCTCAAAATCTCAATGATCACCTCGAACGCGTGAGTAACATTTCAAACAGGATTTTCACCCTTGAATTCGACTTAAAAATTCAACTTTTGACTATTTCTCAAGGTGGTCAGCCATTTAGAAAAAATCCCCACGAAGGTTGATTTTGCCGCTTTGGAGGCCAGATTTCACGAGAAATTGAACCGTTTAGAAGCCGCTAATGATGTAATGAAGCTTCCAACACGCATAAACAAATTTGCAATATGGAATTTGAGTAAATAATTTGCAAATAATTTGCATTTTACAGTCAAACTTAAACGAGACATGCAAGTTTGTAGTAGAGCTTCAATTGGAACAGGCCGCCATCTTGGCAGACATCAGATCCACGAGTTCCAGGATGTCTCAAAATATTAGCGCCATCTTGACGGAGTTTGTGTCCTTGAAAAATAAAGTACGTACGGTTTATGAAGCTGTAAATTTTAATTTTGCAATGTAAAAATTTGCAGCATAAATTGTAGTATTAGCAATTCGAGAATTTCCACGATTCCTTCCCGAAATACCTGCAAGTTCACAAAAAATTAGTTTTACTCGAAGTGGTATCAATTTCACTTTTAGCTATTTAGAATTCTCTCCGAACTTTCAAAAGTTTCGCGCACAGATCGTACGGAATTCGCAGAAATAATTCTAAATCTCATACTACAATTTATACCCAGGTTGACTTTGAAACAACGAAACATTCCTCAAAATGTGGGGATGATGCCGGCCTAGCAGACACTAAATTTCGCTCTAAAAAAGTAACCACTTAAGTATAAACTGACTTTCAGAATTAAAATCAATTAATTAATTTGACAATGACTCAGCTGGTCTGTGACAATGAGTGGGTCATAATTCAAAGAAGGGGTACCCCAACTCCTGAAGGGAAGGAAAGAACGGTTTTCGAAAGAATTTGGGAAGTTTATGAAAATGGATTTGGCAGTATTGACGGCGATTTCTGGCTCGGTACAAATTTCAATTTTGTGCAAATTTTCCTAGCATGTGCTTACTCAAAAAATGCAATGTACGAGGCTCATATGTATGTAGGTTTAGAAACCATTCATGGTCTTACGTTGGAAGGATATACACAGTTACGCGTGGAACTCGAAGACTGGGAGGGGAACAAGAAGTACGCGATTTATGACGTCTTCAGAGTTGCTGATGCCCAAGAGAAGTACAACTTAACGGTGGATGGATACTGGGGAACGGCAGGTGAATGATTGCAAATGCTGCCTAAAATTTGTGTGGCAGGTCACGTTACGTGTCATGGATACGGCAACCAGGCTATGATACTGAGTTCCGGAATAGAGGTTTACATTAGACCTGTCGACAAAACATTAATGGATTTTTATACGGTCGACACGTTTTATACATCTACCTTAGGTTAGGAGTTGTCGGAAAAACGTCAACGTTAAGTTGTTGACGAGTACGTTGTCGACAAGACTACTGTCGACTAAAAATCCGTCGAGATTGCACTTATCAACCTCTATTAACCAACCTTATGCCAGCATACCAACGTTGCAACGAAAATCCCTATAGATTTTGGACCACTAATTAGCAAATCATAGAACTGATTTCTACAATGTGTAGAAAACTAAATTATTTTCAAGTTGTGTCTGACAACGACTCTCATGAGTTACAAGATATCAAAAATTATCACACAAAATCAGAACGAACTCTCTTTCCACAATTTTCCCCAAACTATCCTACACACGAACTAAACACCAAATTTGATCTCTTAAAGTTACTTTATTTTCCAGGCGATTCATTCAGCTATAATGACGGCAAGGAGTTTAGTACTTATGAAAATGACAACGATGACGCCCTGGGGAATTGTGCGGCAAAGTGGCGGGGTGGGTGGTGGCATGGCAATTGTTCTTACGTGAGTGCATTTACATACGTTTCGAAATAGCCATTAAACCAGAGATTAACTAGTTTCTCACGAATTTCTTCCTGACTTATCAGACATTCCTCAACTCTATCTACCATAATTCCAGCAGCGTAGACACCCCTGGGCTATGAGTCATCTGGCACGATTGGAAAGGTGCAAATTATTCCTTGAAAAAAACCGAGATGAAGCTTCGCAAGCCACTCCGGCTCATCTAACAAGGACTATGAAAACTAACTTTATTCACTCATATTTTTATGTTGAATTGCATAAAATTTTTATTCGTGCAATGCTAGAATTTAATTTTACGTTTTAAAAATATTTTACAGAAAATATGGAAATTAATTATAGAAAATTTACAGAAAATGGGATAATTTTGAGACAAAATCTAATTTTGTAGGTATGAATCCAAGTAGAAACTACTGCTGAATGATTTTCAGAAATACTTTGAATATTTAAAATCACCGAGATGACATCGATTCTGCAACAGCCCTTTCCGCCCATCTTAAATACAATGGGAACACATTATATTACCAGCGTTCAAAAACTTATGGCAATTTTTTTAAACTTAATAAAATTGAGAAAATTCATTCTCAAAATACGCAACATTATTTTAGAATGATGTTTTCATCTTTACAAGTTGAAGAATTTTTTGGGGAATTTTAGTACATTGTGAAGAGCGAATGGTCTGCATCGCCAAATTGGTGTAAATAATGTACACATTTTCACAAGTTGCGACATAGGTATACCTATGTCGCAACTCCTATAGGAGTTGTGAAGTGTACTTGCAATTATTATTCAGATTTTGAAAATTTCTACCTTTAATTTACATATCAAAGCAATTATTGTTTGTTAAAGTGGATGATCTAAGGGACCTTGCAGTATTTTTTTGCTATGCAGACAAATATTTATTAATGCACTAAAATTTACACAATAGAATATAAATTATGCATGCATTTCTCCGAGCGATAGTGTAAAGCCTGTGTATTAACATTGTCAGTTTCAAAATTTTAAATTCGCATATGTATTATAGTTGACCAAATGGATAAGATTATTCCAAAATCGATCCAGTGCCAATACCTAGCTAATTTTTAGGCAACAAAAGAAATCCTGAGTGTTGAAGAATGCCAAGTTTAATTGGCAGTCAATTTAATACTTTTCCACTTTTATGTAAACTTGTTTTCATGAAGAGAAATAGGGTGCGTGTTTAAATGTAAACTTAGGGATGTAAACTAAACCTACATAATTATGTACATAATTGCGGAAAGTAACCCTCATTATGAAAAAATCATATCGCCGGGTTCTGTTGATTTCATCGCCACCATAGCGCATTATACTTATCTGTGTACGTTATCTGTACGCCGGGACATTGTCGGACACGCTGTGGCGACGGGGGGTATGGCCATCGGCGCTTCTGCGACCACCAACCTCAGGTACGTCATGTCACATATCATTCTTCTCAGCTCGTCAAGCCGGTTAAAGCGTAACTACTAGATATCGAAAAACCATACCCCGCCCAGTGGGCGTGGTTACTGGTGCAATGTGACTCATTTGAAACACGTCATGTCACATATTATTCTTCTCAGCCCGTCAGGGCGGTTACAGCGCCACTCTTAGATTTCGATAAACCCCACCTCCCAGTGGGTGTGGTTGCTGGTGCCCTGTGACTCTCGCTAAACCACATCATGCGACATATCATCTTTCTCAGCACGTCATACCGATCACGGCCTTTAGTTTACATCCCTAAGTTTACATTTAAACACGCACCCTATTTCTCTTCATGAAAACAAGTTTACATAAAAGTGGAAAAGTATTAAATTGACTGCCAATTAAACTTGGCATTCTTCAACACTCAGGATTTCTTTTGTTGCCTAAAAATTAGCTAGGTATTGGCACTGGATCGATTTTGGAATAATCTTATCCATTTGGTCAACTATAATACATATGCGAATTTAAAATTTTGAAACTGACAATGTTAATACACAGGCTTTACACTATCGCTCGGAGAAATGCATGCATAATTTATATTCTATTGTGTAAATTTTAGTGCATTAATAAATATTTGTCTGCATAGCAAAAAAATACTGCAAGGTCCCTTAGATCATCCACTTTAACAAACAATAATTGCTTTGATATGTAAATTAAAGGTAGAAATTTTCAAAATCTGAATAATAATTGCAAGTACACTTCACAACTCCTATAGGAGTTGCGACATAGGTATACCTATGTCGCAACTTGTGAAAATGTGTACATTATTTACACCAATTTGGCGATGCAGACCATTCGCTCTTCACAATGTACTAAAATTCCCCAAAAAATTCTTCAACTTGTAAAGATGAAAACATCATTCTAAAATAATGTTGCGTATTTTGAGAATGAATTTTCTCAATTTTATTAAGTTTAAAAAAATTGCCATAAGTTTTTGAACGCTGGTAATATAATGTGTTCCCATTGTATTTAAGATGGGCGGAAAGGGCTGTTGCAGAATCGATGTCATCTCGGTGATTTTAAATATTCAAAGTATTTCTGAAAATCATTCAGCAGTAGTTTCTACTTGGATTCATACCTACAAAATTAGATTTTGTCTCAAAATTATCCCATTTTCTGTAAATTTTCTATAATTAATTTCCATATTTTCTGTAAAATATTTTTAAAACGTAAAATTAAATTCTAGCATTGCACGAATAAAAATTTTATGCAATTCAACATAAAAATATGAGTGAATAAAGTTAGTTTTCATAGTCCTTGTTAGATGAGCCGGAGTGGCTTGCGAAGCTTCATCTCGGTTTTTTTCAAGGAATAATTTGCACCTTTCCAATCGTGCCAGATGACTCATAGCCCAGGGGTGTCTACGCTGCTGGAATTATGGTAGATAGAGTTGAGGAATGTCTGATAAGTCAGGAAGAAATTCGTGAGAAACTAGTTAATCTCTGGTTTAATGGCTATTTCGAAACGTATGTAAATGCACTCACGTAAGAACAATTGCCATGCCACCACCCACCCCGCCACTTTGCCGCACAATTCCCCAGGGCGTCATCGTTGTCATTTTCATAAGTACTAAACTCCTTGCCGTCATTATAGCTGAATGAATCGCCTGGAAAATAAAGTAACTTTAAGAGATCAAATTTGGTGTTTAGTTCGTGTGTAGGATAGTTTGGGGAAAATTGTGGAAAGAGAGTTCGTTCTGATTTTGTGTGATAATTTTTGATATCTTGTAACTCATGAGAGTCGTTGTCAGACACAACTTGAAAATAATTTAGTTTTCTACACATTGTAGAAATCAGTTCTATGATTTGCTAATTAGTGGTCCAAAATCTATAGGGATTTTCGTTGCAACGTTGGTATGCTGGCATAAGGTTGGTTAATAGAGGTTGATAAGTGCAATCTCGACGGATTTTTAGTCGACAGTAGTCTTGTCGACAACGTACTCGTCAACAACTTAACGTTGACGTTTTTCCGACAACTCCTAACCTAAGGTAGATGTATAAAACGTGTCGACCGTATAAAAATCCATTAATGTTTTGTCGACAGGTCTAATGTAAACCTCTATTCCGGAACTCAGTATCATAGCCTGGTTGCCGTATCCATGACACGTAACGTGACCTGCCACACAAATTTTAGGCAGCATTTGCAATCATTCACCTGCCGTTCCCCAGTATCCATCCACCGTTAAGTTGTACTTCTCTTGGGCATCAGCAACTCTGAAGACGTCATAAATCGCGTACTTCTTGTTCCCCTCCCAGTCTTCGAGTTCCACGCGTAACTGTGTATATCCTTCCAACGTAAGACCATGAATGGTTTCTAAACCTACATACATATGAGCCTCGTACATTGCATTTTTTGAGTAAGCACATGCTAGGAAAATTTGCACAAAATTGAAATTTGTACCGAGCCAGAAATCGCCGTCAATACTGCCAAATCCATTTTCATAAACTTCCCAAATTCTTTCGAAAACCGTTCTTTCCTTCCCTTCAGGAGTTGGGGTACCCCTTCTTTGAATTATGACCCACTCATTGTCACAGACCAGCTGAGTCATTGTCAAATTAATTAATTGATTTTAATTCTGAAAGTCAGTTTATACTTAAGTGGTTACTTTTTTAGAGCGAAATTTAGTGTCTGCTAGGCCGGCATCATCCCCACATTTTGAGGAATGTTTCGTTGTTTCAAAGTCAACCTGGGTATAAATTGTAGTATGAGATTTAGAATTATTTCTGCGAATTCCGTACGATCTGTGCGCGAAACTTTTGAAAGTTCGGAGAGAATTCTAAATAGCTAAAAGTGAAATTGATACCACTTCGAGTAAAACTAATTTTTTGTGAACTTGCAGGTATTTCGGGAAGGAATCGTGGAAATTCTCGAATTGCTAATACTACAATTTATGCTGCAAATTTTTACATTGCAAAATTAAAATTTACAGCTTCATAAACCGTACGTACTTTATTTTTCAAGGACACAAACTCCGTCAAGATGGCGCTAATATTTTGAGACATCCTGGAACTCGTGGATCTGATGTCTGCCAAGATGGCGGCCTGTTCCAATTGAAGCTCTACTACAAACTTGCATGTCTCGTTTAAGTTTGACTGTAAAATGCAAATTATTTGCAAATTATTTACTCAAATTCCATATTGCAAATTTGTTTATGCGTGTTGGAAGCTTCATTACATCATTAGCGGCTTCTAAACGGTTCAATTTCTCGTGAAATCTGGCCTCCAAAGCGGCAAAATCAACCTTCGTGGGGATTTTTTCTAAATGGCTGACCACCTTGAGAAATAGTCAAAAGTTGAATTTTTAAGTCGAATTCAAGGGTGAAAATCCTGTTTGAAATGTTACTCACGCGTTCGAGGTGATCATTGAGATTTTGAGGAAGGGTTTCGTCATCGTTCAAATCATCCTTGAGCGTACCTTGGACCTGGAAAGGTATTTAATACTCGGTTTAATTACGGATGGTTCTGGAGGAATTTACACTCTAAAAAATATCGAGTAAAATTCACTCAATTTTGAGTGAAATTGCCACCAGGACAACTATTGAGTAAAATTTACCCAATAAAAGTTATAATTTATCCAACCTTGAAAGATTTTTGCTCAACCTTGAGTAAATTTTAACTTTCGCGGGGTAAATTCTACTCAATAGTTGCCCTGGTGGCAATTTCACTCAACTTTTTTTACGGTGTATGGATTCATGAAAAATCTGTCCCTTAATTTGGGGGTTAATTATTAGCTTATTGATCAACAACAAGTTGATATGCTATTGTGTAACGACATTAAATATACAATGCAAAACATGGAGGTGCTAACAAGGGACACTCACGACCTGTCGTTCGTGTCCAGGGTACCCACTATGTTTTTTAGAATCTACTAGGACCCTAAATGAAGGTTCCATTCTTATTTCCGTGTAAAACTTATATTTGGCGCCGTGGCGTGGCGCCAAACTTAAAAATCTGCGTTTTAGACCATTTTCAAACCTCCATAACTTTTTCACTTTCTGTGGGATTTTCAAAATTTTGGACTTAAAATGATCACAAAGGTCAAAATTTGAAGAAAAAAATGTAAAATTTTTATTTTTAAGAGATTTTTAAGATGTTTTCGCCGAATTTCCACGCGTAAAAAAATCTCAAAATTTTGACAAAAATTGAAACAATTAATATTTTGAAAAACTTGATTGCATACTAAAGTTGAACTATTTTTCATGATGTTCGGAAATTTTTTTGAAAATCCACCCAGGATTTCAAAAGTTATGGCGGTTTTACAAATGAAAACCTGCAAATTTGGCGAATTTGGCGCCACGCCACGGCGCCAAATATGAGTTTTACACGGAAATAAGAATGGATCCTTCATTTAGGGTCCTAGTAGATTCTAAAAAACATAGTGGGTACCCTGGACACGAACGACAGGTCGTGAGTGTCCCTTGTAAGTATCACCGTGCGGTGTCCATACCTGTAAAACTTATAACCCCATGGTGTCCATATTATCACAAGGCGATGTAAAAACTAATGCCACGTCGGCGAAGTCTCGTATATACACCACGCTGTGATAATTACATAACACGGCATTTTTTGCGGTGCATGGAAAATTATTTGGCAATTAAACTGAATATGTATGTAAGGATTATGATTATGGCCAGTATGTCAATTTTTAGGTGACGTGAAAATCTATTTATGTATAAAGTATTGAGACTGTGAGTGGGACTCACCAATCGGCCAAATTTCAACCCTACTTCCAACAATATTAAAATCTAAAGAAAATTGAATGCAAACATGATCAAAACTCAAAACTTCAGAAAGGTGGATGTTGACTGGTCTTGCCGGCGAAATAAAATGCACTGCGTACATATTTACTACACAACTCTGGAGTTGATTTGACTTGATGTGAAAATGATATTTATATCCTGCTGCAGTAGTGATACGAAATGTTACATGTTCATGCAATTTTGTGCATGTACGTACAAGGTATAAAGATAACACTTGAGATATGTATTCGTATATTGATGCTAAATTAAGCCATACATTAATTTTGCAAGGCTAAAGTTACAAAACAATGATTCGAGGAATTGATCTCTATTTACGTGTTTGTGACATCGTCTGCCCCGGAGGCTTTCTTGGAGATTGTGAATTGAATGGGGTATTGATTTTATTATGAGGGCTGACGGATTTATAAAGAATTTGATTAATTTGTTGTCATCGTTGAGTCGAAGACGTGCAATATTACTGCTGCCCAAACTTATTGTGTATATTGTGGTTATGTGAATAATATGTAAATCTGTACTTAGGTATGTATTTGCGTGTAAATGTCAGGGACCTTTTTGTATAGCTGATTTACAGGAAATTGTGTTCAGAAGGATTTTCTAGTGGATATTTTCTCAGTTATTTATTAACATTATTGAAAAACTCCTTGTTGGTAATTGTTTTGTTATAATTTATTACGGGTTGATAATGATTTATGTATTTCTGACTGGTTATGATCATATTATTAAGCAGTAGTAATGGCTGTTACCACGGCAGAGTTATGTATGTATGTAAGTATTGGATCCGGCAATGATTTATTGCGACGCATCACCGTCAATGGCTGCAACAACAAAAAAACAAGGAACGGAAATGATAACCCACCTGGGTTTGAATGCATGTGTGACAAGAAATATGGCATCAGGCATGAATGCATGTACGTACATACATATGTATTTCGTTAAGAATTTATGTATGCACTTATGTATTTTAATAAATGTTTACATAAAGTGTTATTACTTTCCTAAAAATTAGTTATACATAAATAGCAATTATATAACTGTACATAGTCAAGGTTATCGATTATGAGGATAAAAACGGAAGTCAGAAATTTACTTTGTCATGCATATAAACATGTACATTAATGTATTGATATATTTATAAAATGATGGATGACATATTTTACATGGCAAGAGTTTGGGAGCTTTAGTTATTCTTAGCATTTTAGCATTTTGTAATAAACTGAATGGTTCCTACATATTTATGATACACACCCGTTGTAAATTGCTGTATGTATCTATTTTAGTGTACCATAGTTAAGGAGACAAAGTGTCTCAAATTTGAAAAGAGCGGTGTGATCGGATTGGAAGTCGTTCTTTATTCTTTTTCGTATGGGAGCACGCCGTCCTTTTTTATTTACCAACCAGACACGTAGTATTGAGGGATGTGGAAAATTAAGTCGAGAACAGTGGATAATTTTTGGTTGACAATTACCCTTTAAAATTGTTTGAATAAAGTAGGTCTGTTTGTCATTTATCAGTACGACTCTGAAAGTGTATTATTTCCATCTCACTTTAAAATAACGTCATATTTCACATTAGAAAGGGCACTTATCAAGTTTGACCTAGACACATTAAGTAGAAGCAGTTTCTCGGGTCTGGCGTTCTACACCCGTAACAAACTTACACAAGGGTAAAATAGACGTTAAAGTATGGTATCGGTATTAATAATTAAAAAGGGTCACCTGGTTTTGGTAAAGTAGATAAATGTATATAGGATTTGAAATAATGTTTGTTTAAATAAGTCACGCAACAAAATACACATTACAACTTGCGAATGATTATTTACTGATACATAAATGTCAAAATTTTAATACGAAGACCTAACTGTATATGATTTTATCTTTGGTAACCTTTCCTCACCGTTGGGTATTAAATTCCGAGAATTAAATTGAAAAGCTAGGATGAAAATTAAAACAGAGGTATTTTATGGTTTAAGCAAGTTGGTAGTTACCTGCATTGGTATTACATATGTACGTGCATACATTGGTTTTAAGGTATTAAGGTACGTTAAGAAAGCTAAGTGTTCAAGGTGAGGTACACAACTTTATAATGTTCGAATGTTCGGTGTATGTACAAACTTGTCATTCGCACCTGGATGAAAATTAATTTATGCAATTATTTACCCTTTTAAAGGTGAAACTTTAAACAATTACACAAATTTAGAAATACACTGCGTTATGAGATCATTCAATAAATATATTTTAGAACGATGCACGTAATCAATTTCTTGCAGTAACAAGTTAACGCTTCATTGATCAGCGTGTTATAAGTTTTAAATACCTTGGTATCACCTTAGATCCTGCTTTTGATTTTGTGTTAAACAAAATATGTAACGGAGTAGCATTCCTTATGAGCGTAAAAAGATATCTAAACATTCAGTCAATGAAGGCGAAGATCAACGCGCACTTACGCTCTGTAACCGACTATTGCTTAGATATCTGGGCTATTCTCTGTGATAACAAGTTAGGGGCTCTCCATAAATTACGTAACGCTGGCCAGTATGGGAAGGATAGGGGAAAATCCCTATCTTGCCCATACTGGCCAGCGTTACGTAATTTATGGATAGCCCCTTAGACCTGATCCAATAAAAAATAGACAAATTCCTGTTATTATTTTTACCCAAGAACTGCGAAAAAGAAAGTCCACAGCGTCCTTTCTTTCTCGAAAATTCGTCATACGCAAGAAATGGTGAAAATAAGGAACGCCTGCAATTTTCTAAGGATAAAGGAAATAATAAAGTATGTAATATTAAAAAATGCTTATAATAGGTGGTCCCTGGGTAAGACCACTTTTGCCGACAAGAGAAAAACGTTAAATTTAATAATGCCCTGGATGAACCCAATTGTACACAATACCGAATCCATGAAGAGATCCCTTCTTTACCGCAGGTATAAACTATGGAATGAACTACCGAATTACTGGGATTTCCACAAAATGACAGATTCAACGCTTAGTGACAATGTGAAAGAATTAATTACTAATATGCGTTAATTAATAATACTGTAACTAATTGCACATGTACGACTAAAGGACCCATAGTTAATATTAATCCATAGAACGTAGCTAATTAGTATAATAATTATGTTTTGCAAATTTATATTCGACATTTTGTCTTCCGGAGTCCAGACCTGAAAACCAGCACTTGTGCAGACGCTCATACGACTCCTGTAATAAAAACGATCAATCAGTCAATCAAGGTCGCTGGTCAACATTCTTAAAAAAATGTTTCTACGGTCGGGAGTTAAACTGATGTTTTGCAATTTACAATTGTTAGCCACATTTGGATTTAAGCCATTTTTCTATGATATGGGAAGGAAATAATTCGTGTCCTTGGGCCGGGATAAGGTGAAAGTTATCGGGCACAGTTGTTATTCTGCTCGTGGATTCAAATGATTTGACGGTGTCAATTCGGAGAGAAAAGCTTTCATCGTCACATTTCTAATCGGCTGGGTGACAGGATATTCGCTTACATTCCCAATGTTGTATGCTCCAAAGAGGTTTGTGAACTTGATGATTAGACAATTCGAGCTGGAATATTTTGAAATATTGGGTAAGTTTTCAGACGAAACAAATCCCAAGAGATTAAGTGGAAAAGTCACAAAAATATCTAGGATATCCCAAGTTATGAAATACATATGTATTGCACACCTCAGGGCAAAATCGATTGGTCATGTGTTAAACGTCAACGTGGAGCAAGGAATATTAAGCTCATTATGCAATTGTGGCTCGTTTGTATAATTCCGACATATTTTGGCTTTGTCACAAGCTGTTGTTCTGAACTGATTCAACATTGGCAATTTAGAGTAAAAATGTGTAGCTGGACAGCCACAGTGGTATCGGTTGTGGGACCGGTCACAGAATTTGCTATCGTTCTACGAGAAGCAAAAATACCAACCTTTCTTAAATCAATCACAGTAACTTCGAGGTCCAATTGAGTACAATGGATCATCTTTGCGGACTCCTTGATGTTTCAAGGCGTGATCGTATCTTAACCATTTTAGAAATGTCTTTAAATTCCATCCAGATTTATTACAAGGCGAGGTACCTTTTAACATTTATTTATCTAAAATTTATTTAAAAAATAATAAAATAGATTATGTAACCAATAATAAAATAGATATAAATTTATTTAAAAAATAAATTTATTTATTTATTTTTACCAGCCACATTTAGCTGGTAATTCTTGGACTGCCTTTGATACAATAAATAACGAAGAAGAGGAGATTAAAATTCAAAATGTAAATAATTCAAGCAAGGAACTAGAATTTTGCGTGTCGAAACTGTACGCCTGTATTTTAGAATCCGGTAAAATTCCAATGTCGACCTGCCATAAAATTATCTCTGTAGTGAAAGAAACGATTGATACAGTTATTAATATTTGCAAAGGTGAATTGAAAACAGAGCTTGAACGAAATTGTGTACAACCAGATGTTAGTTTGAACTCCGTAAATAGTTTGACAGGAATATTCAGTAAATTTAGTAGTAAATATAAAATGGACAAATTTCTAATCAGGAATAATTTTATGATAGCACCAAGACAAGTTGTGTTAGACAGTGATATTTGTTTTCAATCACGTAATTTAAAGAATCGAAGTCAAATTTATGAATCTGTTGCAATGCAATATATCCCAATCAGGTCATCCATTGAGCAACTCTTCAAGAAACCAGGTTTTTATTCAATATTACAAAATCGTTCTAGTTATAACGGTGAGGTTTATTCCAATTTTTACAACTGTAAATTAAGTAAGCAATTCGATAAAAATGTTTTGTTTCTCAATTTGTACTATGATGATGCAGAGGTTGCCAATCCATTAGGATCGAAAAGTGGAAAGCATAAATTAGCAAATTTTTACTTTTCAATTCTTAATCTACCACAACATTATAACTCAAAGCTCGAAAACATTATTTTAGTTGCATCGTTAAAGACAGAAGATCTTAAACTTTGTTCTCCAAACGCTGTCGTTGGAGTAATTGTTAATGAATTATTGCAGTTATGGAATGAGGGAATAGAAATTTGTCA